TTAAGAAGTTAGAAGAGCCAACAGGCGGCGTAATGGTTGAGGCACTGGACTGCCATGTGGTCAAATGTAGTTTGAGTACTGAACTCTGACTTGAAATTCATGCTGTGTGTGCGCATGTGTGCCCAAAATCCTGAGAAGAGAATGGAGAAGGGATTGTAACGTGGCCATGCCAGAGGGATATGATTTCTTCTTTCTGTCTCTCTGCCTCTTTCTCTCTCTCTGGCAAGCACACATCCCCTATAGCAAAAAACTCTCTCTCAAAAAAAAAAAAAAAAAAGAAAAAGAAAAGGTAGAGCTAAATTTCTTGGCAATAAGAGGCTGAAAATGTTGAAAAGTAACTTAAAGTCTTTTTTGCCTGCTATTAATATATAGCTATTAATAACCACAGCTTTCCTGTGGTTGATGTTATGTGACATATTTTTTATTATCCTTTTACTTTCAGTCTGTGTCCTGGAATGTAAAGTGTGTCTCTTATAGTCATCATATTGTTGGATCATGTTTTCTTCCCTTTTTTTTTCAGAGAGAGATTTTGCTATAGGGTGCATGTGCTCACCAAAGAGACAGAGACAGAGAGACAGAAAGCAAGAAATCACCTGCCAGGGGGGTGGCCACACTGCAGTCCCCTCTCCATTTTCCTCTTTGGATTTTTGGGCATGCATGCACATGTACCTAGTCTTCTTCCCCACCCACCCCCCCTTAGCAGTCTGACAGTCTGTCTTTGGATTGGATTGTTTAATCCACATTTAATGTCATCTACATTTAATATTATTGGTAGAGTTGACTTACTTTCATTTTTTAAACATATTCTAGAGTATGTTATTTATTTATTTTTAGATTTTTGCCTTGAGATGCGAGTACTTGCCAGGGAGAGACAGAGAAAGAGAGAGAGGAAAAGTGAGACATCAGCCCTCAAGGAGAGTGGCCATGCAACAATTCTTTCATCTCCATTCTCCTTTTGAGATTTTATGCTTGCATTCACATGCTTCTGGCATGATTTTTCAAGCCGCCAGATCTGGGACTCCAACTGCTGTCAACCGTGTGGGAATTCAGTGCCTTAACCACCACACCACCTGCTAGCCCTGGCTTAGGTTCATTTTTGTATAGTTCACTGCAAGTGTATAGAAATGTAATTGGTTGGAGGCCAGCAGATGTTGTAATAATTACATCACTGGACTCCCATGTAGTCGACCGCAGTTTGAGTCCTAGACCCGGTGGCTTAACCCTCATGCTGGGCATGTATGTGTATGTGCCCAAAATCTCTAGCGGATATAGAGGAGAAGGGATTGCAGCATGGCCATCCCCTCTAAGGGGGTGGTTTTTTGCTTTCTGTCTCTCTGTCTCTCCAGTAAGCATCCGTGTCCTATAGCAAAAATCTCTCTCTTAAAAAAAGAAATGTAATTGTTTTTTGTGTATTTGTTTTATAGCCTACAACATTACTAAACTTACTTACTAATTTCAACAGATTTTTAGTGGGTTCTTATGCTTTTCTTTATATAAAATCATGTCTTTTGCAAATACACTTTTACTTATAAGCTGAATACCTCTTTTTTAAAAAAATTATTCTATTTAACTTTATTTATTCATTCATTCATTTATTTCAATTTGACCAGGGAGGGATTGAGAGAGAGCAAGCTGCCAGGTCCAGGACTCAAACCGTAGTCAGCTATGTGGGAGTTCAGCACCCCTAACCACCAAGCCACCTGCCAGCCCCAGTACCTCTCTTTATTTATTTTATTTATTTTTTTTTGGAGAGGTTTTTGCTATAGGGCGTATGCGCTCACCAGACAGAAATAGAGAGACAGAAAGTAAGAAATCACCTCCCAGGGGGGCGGCCACGCCACACCTCAATCCCTTCTCCATTCTCCTCTCAGGATCTTGGGCACATATGCACACGCGCCCAGCGTGAATTTTAAGCCACCAGGTCTAGGACGCGAACCGCAGTCGACTACATGGGAGTCCAGCGACATAGCCATTACGCTAACTGCTGGTCCCCCCAGTACCTCTTTTTTCCCAGCTTTTTTGATATTTCGGTTATAGCCATAAGTACACATTGCAGAGAGAAAATGTTTAGTGCTATTTACACATTTTAAAACTGCTCCATACAAATTTAATTCTGATCAATGTAATATTTTCATAAATCTTCATAGAAATCCTTTTTATCAAGGCATAATAATGAATAAAACAGGGCCAGCAGGTGGCATAGTAAGGCTCAGGACTCCCACATGACTGATTGGTTCAAGTCCTGGGCCTGGTGACTTGAAAATCATGCTGGGCGCAGTGAAGGCCACACGGGCCGGGTGAGCTGTGAGCGGCAGTTCTGTTCCCCAGGCAGTTGTCGGTAATACAGCAGAGTGGCCATGGCAGAACTGCAGGCTGAGCCCTGCAGCCTCACTGATGAGGCCGTCCTCAGTTACTGCTGTAACAGGGACCTGAGCACCAAGGATTTTCTGTCACAGCAGACCATGCTGAGAAGTCAGGATCTTACAAAGTCTTTGGATTTTTATACTCAAGTCCTCAGAGTGTCGTTACTCCAAAAATTCCATTTTCCTACTGTGAAATTTTCACTTTATTTCTTGGCTTATGAAGATAAAAATGATATTCCCCAAAATGAGGATGAAAAAGTAGCATGGGTATTCTCCAGAAAAGCCACACTTGAACTGACACACAATTGGAGTATTGAAGATGATAAGACCCAGAATTACCACAATGACAGTTCAGACCCTCGAGGATTTGGTAACGCTGGAATTGCTGTCCTGGATGTACATGGTGCTTGTGCAAGATTTGAACAGTTAGGCGTCAAATTTGTCAAGAAATCTGATGATGGCATTTATTTAAGATCCTGATGGCTACTGGGTTAAAATTTTGAATCCTAACAGAATGGCAACTATTATTTAGTGCTGTGGAATGCTCCTTTAAAATGTCAGTAAAGACAAAAAAGAAACAATGTGTGATTCAAGATAATCCAGATACCAGAAGCATCCAGGTCTTAATTCAGTTGTTTTTTTCCACCTGTTCAGTCATTCTAGTTTTAAATAGTACTTTACCTTATGTCCTCAAATGTAGTTGTCTGACTTTGCTTTTTAGGTAATAATTAGAACAGTTCTCTTCAGGGGCTATACTTGCCACCTTCTATCTCTTAAATTTTACTTCCCTTTAAGTCTGCCTTTGAATCATCATTTTCAAAAAAGAAAACATGTAATATGTTTTTGTTGTAGTTATCTTCTGAGGTTTCAACTCCTCAGAAATAACTTCTTATAATAGAAAAAGAACACTGAACAAAAATGAAATGTCATGTGTACTTCAAAATTAAAAAAAAAAAAATCAACATGCCCAGAATCCTAGGAGGAGAAGGAATTGTGGCATGGCCATGGCCCTGGGGGTGATCTCTCACTTTCCCTTTCACTATCTCTCTGTCTCTCTCCTTATCCAGTGCACATACCCTGTGACAAAAACCTTAAGATAGGGACCAGCAGTTAGCGTAATGGCTTTGTTGCTGGACTCCCACGTAGTCGACCGCAGTTCGAGTCCTGGACCCGGTGACTTAAACTCACGCCGGGCGCGTGTGTGTGCGTGCCCAAGATCCTGAGAGGAGAAATGAGGGGAAGGGATTGCAACATGTCCATTCCCCCTGGCGGGTGATTTCTTGCTTTCTGTCTCTGTCTCTCTCTGTCTCTCTGGCAAGTGCACGCTCCCTATATCGCCATCGCAAGTGCACGCTCCCTATATCAAAAACCCCCCCCCCCCCAAAAAAAAAAACCCTTAAGATAATAGTGATGAATAAAATAACATGATTACATTTAAATAGAGGTGAGCATTTGAAACTATTTACACTTAATGATTATAAGGACCATGGAAATGGTCCTTAAAATTTGGCCCTTATAATTTACTAAGTAAATACACTTAGTAAATAGAAACCTAATGCAAGCCTGCAATTTTATTTTGTAAAGGCTAAGGTTAGGTACATGGATATTGCATCCTATGCTAATGCCAATCAATATTTAAGTTGTATAGTTAGGTATTTTATAAGTCTTTCATGAAAAACATTCTATACATTTTTGCAGTTTCATCCAGGAAGAATTTCCCCCTGATAAAATAGAAAATCTCCACATGTGGGTTTTAAACTAGCTTATGCTTGGGGACCAGCAGGTGGCATGGTCGTTAAAGTGCTGGACATTCCCACATGGCCAACCACAGTTCGAGTCCCGGACCTGATGACTTGCTTTCTTGCTTTCCCTCCCCACCCCCATGTCTCTCTCTAGTCAAATTAAAATATGTGAATGAATACATAAAAAATTAAATAAATAATTCTTTTTTAAAAAACTAGCTTATGCTTTAGTGCTGTACAAATTGCAGATGGCATATCAATCTTTAAATTACTGTTAGAAAATAAAGAATGAAATTCTTTTTTTTTCTTTTTTCATCTGTTTGTTTATTTATCTGTTTGCTGTGATTTTTCAAGCTGCCAGGTTCAGGACTCAAATAATGGTCAGCCATGTGAGAATCCAGTGCCTTAACCACCACACCACCTGCTGACCCAAGAGTGGCATTCTTATTCATCTATTATTTCAGAATTTAAGCTGGATTTTTTTATTTCTTTTTGTTGCCTAATTGCCTTGGTTTGCACCTGTAGGCCAATGTTGAATACGTGTAGTAATTAGTCTTTATCGTGAAACGATGCTGGATTTTGCTGAATGCCTTTTCTGCATTGAGATGAACTTGTGATTTTGGTTTTTTAGTCCATAGATATGATGATTACATTAACTGATTTTCATATGTTAACTTGCATCATTGAGATAAATCTCACTTGATTGTGGTATATAATTACTATTGCTGGATTCCGTTTCCTAGCGTTTCATTGAGGATTTTTACGTCCATATTCATGAGAGATATTGTAGTTTTCTTTTCTTGTGATATCTTTGTCTGGCTTATCAAGGTAATCGTAGTCTTATAAGTTAGGAATTGTTCTTTCCTTTTTTAATTTTTTAAGTATTTGTGAAAATTTATTAATTCTTTAAGTGTTTACTAGAATTCAATGACAGTGCCATCTAGGCCTGGCCTATTCTTCTTAGGTAGTTTTTAAACTACTAATTCAGTCTCCTTACTTGTGATAGGTCTATTCAGATTGTCCATTTCCTCTTGAGTCTTTCTAGAAATTTGTCCACTGTCTCTAAGTTATCTAATTTGGTGGCATATAATTAACAGTTCATAGTTCATAGTATTCTTTTTATATAGTATAATATTCCTTTATAGTCCTTTTTTAATTACCAGAGGGTGCATGCTCACATGAGAGAGAGAGAGAAGGGATTATACCCTTCAATGGAATCTGGTCATGCCATAATCCTTTTTCCTCCAATTCTGTATCCTGTCAGGATCCTGGGTGCATGTGCACAGTGTATGTATTTTTCTTTTCTTTCTTTTTTCTTTTTCTTAGAGATTTTTGCCTTAGGACACGTGTGCTCACTAGAGAGAGTAATAGAGACGGTGAGAGGGAAAGTTAGAAATCACCCCCGGGGAGGATGGCCATATTGTAATCCCTTCTCCATTCTCCTCCCAGGATCTTGAGCACTCATGAACACGCTCCTAGCATGATTTTCAAGTCCCTGAGTCAGCCATGTGGGAGTCCAACAGTATAACTATGCTATCTGCTGACCCCACTCTATGGTTTTTCAAAATAACAGAGCTGAAAATGGAACCTTGGTCAGCTATGTAGGGATCCAGCATTCTCTGCATAACACCTAACTCTGTGTACTATGATGTCCAGTCCCTTTTATTTCTGTAAAGTTGCTGTAATGTCTCTTCCTTCACTTCTGGTTTTAGTAATTTGAATCTTCCTTTTTTTTCTGTTGATCTAACTAAAAGTTTATAAATTTTGGGCCAGCCTCATAGCTCAGCAGTTTAAGGGAGCCATATCTCACCTGACCAACTAGTGTTCAAGTCCTGGCTCTGGTGGCTTGAAAAATATGCTGGGCTCTGCACAATCCTGACAGGAAGGAGGAATGGGGGAAAAACTTGAGATTGTAGCACAATCATGCCCTGTTGGTTGGGGGGATACTTCCTCTCTTTTTTTCTCTCTCTCTGGTGAGCACATATGCCCTCTCCTCTGGCAGTAGAAAAAAATTAAAATAAAAAAAAGTTTTAAAATTCTGTTCATCTTTTCAACAAACCAGCCCTTGACTTTATAGAATTTTCACTATTATTTTGATAGTTTCTATTTTATTACCTTCAACTCTAATCTTTATTATTTCCTTCCTTCTGTTTCTTCATGTTTAGTTTGCTGTCCTTTTTCTAGTGTCTTAAGGTACAAGGTTAGGTTATTGATTTGAGATCTTGCTTTTTTCTTTTTCGGAGAGATTTTTCCTATAGAATGCGCACACTCGCCAGAAAGACAGAGAGACAGGGAGACAGAAATTAAGAAATCATCCCCCCGGGGGGATGACTATACCACCATCCCTTCTTCTCTCGATATCTTGGGCATGCACATGCACATGTCTGGTGTGAGTTTAAGCCACCAGGTCTGGGTCTTGAACCACAGTCGACCACATAGGAGTCCAGTGACACAGCTATTATGCCGACTGCTGGTCCCAGACATCTTGCTTTTTCCTTAATGTAGGCATTCATATCTACATTTTCTTAAAGCATTGCTTTAGCTGTATGTCATAAGGTTTGGTATGTTGTGTTTTCATTTTCATTCACATCAGTATTTTCTGATTTCTCTCTCTCTCTTTTTTTTTATTTTTGTAGAGAAGTTTTTGCTATAGGGCGCATGTGCTCGCCAGACAGAGACAGACAGAGAGACAGAAAGCAAGAAATCACCCCCCAGGGGGGAATGCCCACGCCGCAATCCCTTCTTCTCCATTCTCCTCTCGGGATCTTGGGCACACACGCACACGTGCCCGGTGTGAGTTTAAGCCACCGGGTCTGGGTCTAGAACTGTGGTCGACTACATGGGAGTCCAGCGACATAGCCATTACGCTAACTGCTGGTCCCCTGATTTCTCTTTTGATTTATTCTCTGACACATTGGTTATTTAGGAGTTGTTCCCAAACTTTTTTTCTATTGTTAATTTTTTACTTCATTCCACTGTGACTAGATGACATACTTTGTGTTATTTCTTTACTTTCAAGTTTATTAAGGTTTGCTTCATGGTCCAGCATATGATCTGTCTTAGAGAATGATTGGTCATTTTAAGCTAAGTTATCACTGCAAAAACATTTCCTCTGAGTGACTTTGCTTTGTTTTGGTTTTTTTGGTCCGTTGTGTTTCAGATTGTCGTTATAATGAGAGGCTTGCCTGGCAGTGGAAAAACACATGTTGCAAAACTTATTCGAGTGAGTATGGGAAAGCCACAAATCGTTGCTGGTGTTAGCCACTTGCCTTCTAAGTGAGCATTGTGATAGGATGTAGGTATCCCAGCTGGAGCCATTCTAGTTGGCCCATGTGGTAGACATTGTCCCATATCAACTTTCGATCTATTTAGACAAGTATTTTTGCCTTGCTTGGATTCAAAACGCACAGAAGGTTAAATATTTTTTTAGTCATTCAAGGGAACTTTGGTGTGAACATTCATTCATATATTCTAGAAATTCTTTTTAATCTTCTTGGTTCTATGATTCTTAGGACAAGGAGGTTGAATTTGGAGGACCTGCACCCAGAGTTCTAAGCCTGGATGATTACTTCATCACTGAAGTAGAAAAAGAAGAAAAAGATCCAGATTCTGGGAAGAAAGTGAAAAAGAAGGTATGGTATTTTCCTCTCAGATCTCATTCTAATTCATTAATAGTATTTAATGGAAACCATGTCTGGAGAGAGGTGTGTCTTTTTTGAAAACCAAAACCTCTTCTTTTTGAACACAAATGGCACTAAGCTTGTGGGAAAGACCCCAGTCATCTGTGTCC